GTAAATTCTATATTCCCGGAAGCCTCTCTATTTGGCCTACTTTTATGCCCTAATTACTCTCGCAATTCCGCTTCATGCTTGTACAGAATAGGTGATGCATTTTTCCCTCTCGCACTCTCCTACCCTAATATGTGTGAAAAGGGTAAGATATTGCCTCAGTCGTCAGCAGCAATATACATCTCTCCATTTTCGTGAGTCTATTTGGTGTTTTGCGGCTTTCGTTCGCGAAAGCCAGCTTAGAAGCGATGTGTTCTCCACTTTTCTCGCCCCCACTAGCTTCATATAATTTTCATTTCGTTATCTTACGGGCCAGGTCCCCTAGTTGAGTGATTGTACGTCGCAAAATCGTCAGGAACTTCCTTCCAGATCAGAGACGTACATGTCCTTCATGCTAAATTGGACAAGACTCCAATCTAGTTACTCCTTTCCCCGCTCCGGCGCCCATTTTCGACTCAACTTTCAGCATACTTGTCTGGTCCAAGATTTATAGGATTGGCCGAACTCGTGACAATCTATTCGTGTCGCCAGAGCGACCCCGAATGACGCAATCCGCACTGCATACTCTTTTGGAGTTGCCATACTTATTTACTGTATATGAGTTGTGTTCACCCTATTTCGCTCATGGTGATGAACGACTGGCAGTTGATTTTCCCCACAATCATATGAGTAGAACTAACTTTTCCGTTGACTTTCACATAGCCTTGTTCCCCCAGAAGCTTTTCTCATCCAGGGTAGAATGTTGTTTCGACCTCACCCCAAACCATAGTCGAATTGTAACATTGCATTGTGTGATCTTTATACGTTGACCATTACGCCACATTGCCAGGAATGTCCTTGAGTCACAGGACATGTGAACTTCAAGGAATGTCAGGCATTTTTTCATATCACGTTCTGTGTTGGGACTGTCGATGAAACAAACCTATATTTGCTATAGCAATCGACGACATTACTTTTTTCGTGAGTGAGTAGGTTTTCGAGACTACCAGTAAATCAAATATGAGTCGTGTTCACCCTATTTCGCTTAAGTTGCTGAAGGACTGATAATTGAAATTTCCCACAATAATATGAGTAGAGCTGATATTTTCCAATGAATTTCGGCCTATCCGAGGTCGAAACTACAGTCCACTCTGTATGAGAACACATTTTGGGGAAGCAAGGCTATGTGAAATTCAATAGAAAATATCAGCTCTACTCATATCATTGTGGGACAATTTTACGACCAGCCCTTCATCGCCTTAAACGAAATAGGGCGAACACAACTCATCTGATTTGCTGGTCGTCTCGAAAAATACTAATTTCCTGCATCTGACCTTTTGATGTAGGCAGAGTGCCTACACGATAGATGGATGTTCCAGGAGGGAAGGAGGGGAAGATAACACAACCTTTCAGCAGAAAGTTGGCCAAGGAACCGATTTCACTTGCCTCCCGGATGAGTTGTAGCTGACTGGCAGGGCCGGCGAAAAGTCTATGAATGCCCCAACGTTTCATTGCCGCAAGAAGTTGGCGCATTCTCACTGCCAAGTCTCGTGCTGGCCACTCCGATCAGTGTCATTCAGTTTTGACAGGAAATATTACCGCCTCAATGTATGACAGAGCGCACTAGCTTGAGCTGCTCTTTTTTGAGCGCCGTTTGCCGCCAGGCTCTAATCGATCCACGACGCAGAATTCGGGCTGCCTGTACATCTGACCGTATGGCTGCATGAGTGAGCAGTCGTCCCGGCTGTCGCCTCGTCTGATTGGCCAAGCCTTGCCGTGCTCGGATTGGCTGGCTTACCTGTGTCATTTGACTTGCTCGTCCAGTCCTTCCTGCCTGACGGTCGCCGATTTGTTTCCCACTCGTTTTGGAAAAATGCTCGCGCCCTCTCTCAGCCTCCTGGCGAGCAGTTCCCTAGCTCAGGTGGATGTGACCAGAACTGAAGACACATTCCACAGTCCCACTTTGCTGCTCACTCTCCCATCCCGCCCTCCTCCCTTACTCACTTTTCGCACTATCGCCCAGCTCGCCCACAAACACCCTGCAAACCGATTCGTCTGCCAACGTGTGTTGACATCGCGGTGGGATCAACTTTTGCCAAATCTGTCCGGATAACAGCTGCCATGTAGACCCGGCCCGATACCCTTGCTAATGCGTCGCA